CTCTTTTTCCCCTGAGGGTCTTGCATGGTACTGAGCAGTGTTTGGTAGATACTGGCCAGGGCCCAGCACAGTGCCGTAAGTTGTGCCTCTCTGGAGTAGCCACAGCATTTTCCTTTCCAATATTCTATTACTTTATCAGGGTCCTGGAGTTGTTCGAGGGTGAAGTCCCAAACCATTGGAGGTGAGAAATTCTCTAGATACCTGCCCATATTCTCCCACATGCCATGCCACCCCTGACTATCCAGCCTTGGGGCAGATCTCTGGGTGGTAGACTTAAGCAGTTGCTTAACCCTAAACAAGATCTGAAAAACATTCAGCAGGCATAGCAATAGAAACATGCTGGTTTGAGCATCCCAAGGATATTCAAAGTTCTCAAGAGGTGTCATATCTGGCCCAAAGGAGAAAAGGGAGGCAAAAGAGCTGGGGAAAGTATCTCCCCCTGTTTCTCCCATAGATTGGGTGATATTATTAATAACTTCTGAAAGATGATAACCAAGGTATGGACAAGACAGCAATAGTGCATAGACACCCCAACAAAGCCACTTCAATAGTGATGTTATCATATCATAAGCTGAAATTGCAAATGACAGCAAAATTATAGCCCTGATCCCTCTCCCCGAGATAACAAACAGCATCACGGGGAGTAGATAGAGCATGTAAGAATTTGCAAAGCACAGCCACGCAAACAAACGAAGTAACATCCTAACGGGCAACTATCCAACCAATATGGGAAATGGATACAAGAAATTTGTTATTGCAACCCTTCAGGCCCCACGTTGGGCGCCAAAAAGAACTGTTGTGGTTTGGCCTCAGCCAGCAACAAAGAACCACGCGGCCGCTCGCACAACTCCCACAGTCGTGGAAAAAGAAAATGACAGGGCCAAACTCGTGGGTTAAAAGAGTGCAATTTAACAGAACAGCAAAAGGAAAAGACGAAAACGCGATTACAGTACCGCCGCGAAGCGCACCGACCGGACCCGCACCGCCGCAGCCCACCCCCGAGTGGCGACTCCTCTCCTCGCCCCGGCTAGCTCCTCTTATAGCCCGGGCATGGGTCACGTGGGAGGGAATACCTGCCCCCTGCCGGCTCCGGGGGAGATTAACCCCATCCCTGCCGGAACCAGGACAGGATCACGAGACCAATTTAGGCCACATGGCCTGTTACAGACCATGTGGAGACCACAGGAAATCCCACTGACTGCATAGACCACATGGGAACCACAAAGACACTACATGGGAGGTACATGGACTACAGACTACATAGACTGTATGAGGACCACAAAGCCATGGAGACCACTTCCAATGGAAAGCATTGGAACGGGCTGCCCAGGGAAGTGGTGGAATCACCATCCTTGGGCGTATTTAAAAGACGGGTAGACGTGGTGCTGAGGGACGTGGTTTAGTGGTGGTTTTGGCAAAGTTAGGTTAGTGTTGAGCTCCATGATCCTAAAGGTCCCTTTTAAGTCTAGGTCCCAAGCTAGACGATTCTATGATTCTGTGTGAAGACAAGAACACCTGTAGGACATGCAGTGGGACACCTCTTCAGGAAAACCTTCTTCCTTCTCCTGACCGCAATGGTGTGCAGGTCAGTGCTTCATGGCTTCACTTCCTCTCCACGCAGATTCACACTCTCCCAAGCTCTTCACACCTGTGAGCCTCAGAGCTGTGGTGGGACTGGGGACAGCTGTGAGCATCTGCTACACGTCAGTGCTGTTCCTCCTGTGCTGAGAGGTAGATGGCCCCCCCCAGCACTGCCAGGACCCACTGGCCAGCCAGGTGAACAGTGGGCCACATGCCTGCTGCTGCACCAGAAGGACGGAGCCAGCTGTCCCACTGGGAGTCCAGTGGCTCCTAGAACTGGCGATTGTTACCTTATGTGATAAAAATCTCATCTGCAGGCACAGGGAGCATAGGCAACCATGGCAGGTGAAGGTGTAACTGCTCAGCAATGGCTTCAGGTGTGGTGGAAGTGAGCAGTTATTTGGAGCAAGGACCTTGCTGTTGCTCCAGCATAGGACTGGGAAGGCCTGGATGGAGGAGGGATGGGGCCAGCCCGGTGGAGTGGACCAGACCTACAGGTAGAAGGTATTGCTGTCCCTCCACCAGTACAAGACACTGTAGGCCAGCTGGGATGAAACAGCCGCTGAGGAGGCCAAAAAGGACACCAAGTTCCTTCCCTCCTATTCCACTCTGTGGAGCTGCCAAATCTGCCCCACAGCTGTGAGGAAGAGCACCGCCTGGACACAGCTGGAGCCAGTGTCCTTTCCCCCTCCACCACCCGCTCTGCACCGTGGCGGGGGCACCATGCAGGTTTCTGGGCATGACGAGGGGGCACGACATGGCACAGAGGTCTTCCTGGGCCTGGGTGAGCAAGAACTGACAACAAATGGAGTAACAAAATTCCTGCTTTAATGGCTTAGAATAAAAAAAAAAAAAGAGGTAAACCTTACGCCCCTGCAGATGCTGGACACATCTCCACAGACAGGAGGTGTGCAGCATGCCGTGGGAAAACCAATGCGTGTGGCAGGGAAGTGGGGTGTTCTGCCTCCGAAGGGATGTGACGTTTACTTGCTATCTATGGTCCGCTTTTTATTCTGTCTTGCTAAAACAGCTGGTTTATGATGCCACTTGTTGTTGCAGTTTTGTTATGGAGATTCAGGAAGTCTTGTGCTGTCCCTTCTCCCCGCCCCAATTGCAGAACTTCACCCTGTTTCGCAAGGGCCAAGAGGAAGCCATTTCCCCATCAAGTGACCAGAGCCAAGAAAGAGAAACCAAAGTCCTCGATAGCTTCTCTCCTAAGGTCCACGGGATCCTAAGACCAGGTCATCAAGGGTGCCCAGCCCTGGGCAGCTCACTGGGACATTCTGGTTCCAGTACAACCACCCCAGCTCTGCAATTGTGTCTGCAGACCCTCAAGCCGTGGGACAGCAGGGCTTGTGGCAACGAGGGCGTATCGGGACCCACAAGAAGCCACCCAGCTGCTCGGTGCCTCCGGCCAACGCCTTCCTCTGAAGAAACCCTGCTTGAACCGAGGACGGAGGGAGCCAAGAGGGCCATGATCCTGCCTGTGACCCACGTGCTAGCCTTCGGTGAGTGCCAGAGGCTGTGTGGGCTCCCAGAGCAGGCACATGAGGTGTCTGGAGACTCCACAGAAATGTTACACGGCTGTTTCTCTTGCAGGTGCTTGGCTGGTGGCACAGAGCAAGGCTACACCAAGTGAGTATGATGAGGAGATAGATGGTGAGTTTGGACACATCTCTGGGGACCCCATCCATCTCCCAGGGCTCTTCCCCAGCCCCACAGAACAAAACTCACCCTTGTGTGGAGGTGGGGCGTGGAGCCAGCTCCAGGCTCACCGCAGGGCAGCATCTGACAGCATCTCTCTCCCTGTGCAGATGCCCCCGCCATCTCCATCTTTCTGAAGCCGCCTGGGGTGATCCCACCTGGAGGTTCCACCACCATCTGCTGCAGTTGCCGGTGTGACAACGGGAACTTTGTGCTGTACCAGAATGGCCAGCAGGTCCGTACCCTGGAGCTGCGTGGCAGCAGGGCTGAGTTCTCCATCTCTAATGCCACCCAAAAGGACGCAGGTGCCTACAGCTGCCATTACCGGAAGGGAGACGCTGTGCTGGCTCGCAGTGAAACCCTGGAAATCCAGGTGCAAGGTGAGGAACATGCTGTTACCCCTTCACGTGGGGTCAGATGCCACATGGGCAGACTGGGATGCACGTTGCCACTTGGCTTCCCCATCCACAGGATGGACAGGGTTTTTCCCCTCTTCCCTGGCTTGGAGAGGTGAGGACCATCTTCACCTCTACCTGAGCCTGGTGGTGGGGTCATGGAGATCCCAGAGGCTGCTAGCACCATGTCAAAGCCCTGCTCACCTTCTCATGTCTTCTCCTCTCCCCACAGAGTTCCATCTCCCCGAACCTGTCCTCTCTGTCCTGCCTGGCCACGAGGTGGATGCGGGAGCAGATGTGGTTTTCCGTTGCACCATTGCACACCCCAAGGCTGGCTGTTTCCTCTACCTGGAGGGCCGGATCCAAGGCTTCCCATTTCTCTCAGGTGAACGAGATTACATCCTCTCCCACGTGCATAAAGGCAATGAGGGCCGCTACAGCTGCCAGTGCTTCACCAGGGGTGCTTTGTTTGAATGGTCTGCTGTCAGCAAGACCCTGGATTTGGCGGTGAGAGGTGAGACATCCCCCCAGCCACATCCTACTCTTCTCTTCCTCCCTGGCATCTGCCACATCCTGGGGGAACTAGACAAGAGGAAGTGGGGGAAGAAAGCAGCTGTAATTGGGGTCCAAGCAGAGGAATATAACTTCCTTCAGATGTGTTTGAGCCTCCCCAGCTCCTCAGAGACCCTACAGATGACCTAATAGGCCCTATAGACACAGTTGGGGGGCAAGGGTCAGGGGACACCTACCAGCCCCAGGGACAGTTGTACCCATCGCAGCCCAGCGGTGCCATCTGGCTGGCAGTGGCAGGTGAGGGCCAGCTCCATGTTTCTGTCCTCCTCCCCATCTTTGGTGCCACTGGGTGGGGTGTCAGGTGGGTAGGGGGTGTCCCCAGGGAGCAGGGATGTGGGAGACAGAGGTGGCAGGAGGCCTTGGGGCTCCCTTTGAACTTCCCTTTGAACTTCCCTTTCTCCCTCATTGGCCCAGGAGCTCCCCAGCGTGTCCCCTTGCCAGGGTGTCTGTCTGCCCCCTTCCATCCCCTTGGGTCCCTTGTTTCCCCCACGGGACTCCGTTGGTCTGGGAGCTCCGGGGGTCTCCTCCTGACTGTCCCTTCTTGTCCCTTCCAGATTACACCTGGAGCAACGTGGTGCGCCTGGCCCTGGGGGCCGGGGTCCTGGTCCTGCTGGGGATGATCGTGGCCGAGGCCATGTGCAGCCACCAGCGCAGGACGGGACCCCCCTGAGACGGGGAGCT